ATTGGGTCTGTCAGAAAGCCCCTTCAAGGATCCGTCAAAATTTGATGTTTTTTTGTCGGAGGATGAAATTAAATATAAGGAGAGAGGAGTTTTCAGAGCCTGGAGAAATTTTATGAAATGGTAAAAACAAATTCGGTTATCTTTTCACATGTTATGCTGATTGTATCCTTCGTTTTGGTGACGGTTTTGGTGAACTTTCGTTTGAACTGGTTGTGCACTATTTGAGATTTTTCTTAGGTTGCATCTTTTGCCGTGTGTTTTAATGTGATGCTTCATTCTTGATGGTTTTCTTTACTAGGTATGAAATGGAAGGATCTACTTCCGCAAGGAAAGCGGATTCTACTTTTGAAGACTCCCGGTTGATTTCTGCGAATGGGCCCTTTACAAAATCGGAAATTTTCAAGCAGTTCTTCAATTCAACTGGTTTGACTTCACCAAATGCTCTGTCATCTAAAATTGCGACCTTTTGTTCCTTCTTCATGGGCAAGTTCTGATTTTTTACTCTTCTTTTTCCGAGGTGATATTTCTTGAATAAGGTGAACAAAAAGATGATGCATTCTTAAATGCAGAAATTTTTTTAATATTTCTAATGTTGCGTGAAACTGATACAGAAGTACAGTATATCAGATTTGATTTGGGGATTATTTGAAAAAGAATTCCGTGAAGCCGGAAAAATGCAGAAATTCGCCTAGATTATTTAAAATATTACCTGACTTTTTTTCAGTGCTTTTAGTAAATGTATCATTACTCGTGCATTCTTAAAAGTTTACCAAAAGTAAAATGATTTCGGTATGACTCAATGCGAGTGACGCAGTGACATCTACCCTCTATGAAAATGATTGCAGTAATTTTGTGGACAATCTATGTCGCTCCAAAATTCATTGGTGTTCATTTTCAATTATGTCAAGGCGTATACAAGAAAGAGAATTTGTGAAGAACTGTATGAAGAATGATTTATTTCAACAGGATTGTGTTTCATTGGAGTCAATGCTTTGCTCATCTTCCAAGAAGATTCCATTACTGGAAAGAGCGATGCAAAATGGCCCATTGTGTTTCTGGTCATTTTTATTTTCCTTTCCTTGCTCATGCTCTTTGCAATTTTTCGTCAGCCAATGAGTCCACAAAAACTCAACTTCAAGGTTTGTCGTCATCTGAGGGCTTCTGTTACGATTCAGCATTTATTTTCTTGGTCTTAATCTTAACATTGGTTTTCATTTTGATTAAGGTCCCGTTGGTGCCTTTTTTGCCGGCTCTTAGCATGTGGATCAATATTTACTTGATGATGAAGCTCTCGGACAAAACCTGGATTCGCTTTTCTGTCTGGATGACGCTAGGTGAGTTTTACAAAATTGATTTTTTTT